TATCCAGCTGGCTAAAACAAATACCCCTCATAATTCCACCAGGCAACCGTGACGGCCCACTTTGTCAGGGTCAGTTCACTGCTCTAGATCCGTTGTTTAAAAGTATTTATTTACCTTTTTATTCAGGGCGAATTTATACCTATGAAACTCAATATAGCCTGAGCACCCATCGCCTATGACAGATCAGCAGAACGCACTGTCAAAAGAAAGGTTTCGCAAACGGTATATATATATGCTGATTACTCTGAGCATAAAAGACCAGGAACCTAGTAGATCTCCGTAAATATTATAAGAATATATAACTACACATGATGTAGTTTATCGTTGCCAGCTAGGAGTGGAAACCTTGGGTTGACGTCAAGAAACAAAGGGACGGCATTCTTTATAAATATTTGGCTAGGTGGATTGTACCGGGCTCTTGTATGTACAGTCGCATGCATCAAGTTCTCGCCGTTCACGATGCAACACCCAACCTCAATACTCGTTACTCAACCATAAGTGAAGATATTTAATGGAGAATACATAGTAGAGTTAAATAGAATATAAAGAAAGCGATTTTGAGACTACCATCTAGTATGCCCTCCATTGGCTTTGAGACACGCCTCAACCCTTAATGGCAATTTATCTAGCTTTGGTTGGGACAATGCCCCCTACTCCTCTTGTGCAGCGATAAAAGGTTCATCATCACGATGAGGTATTCTCTGTCTATAACTTCATTCCCTTTTTAGTGCACTCTTGAGCATCTCCCATGAATTCTCTATGGCGTTGAAATCTGGTGATCCAGTAGGCCAATCCTCCTCCTGACTGACAGTTTGTATCTTTATTTATCTGTACAGTATTTCAGCCAATTTTATGGAGAATAACAACAGCTTGCCACTTGTCATATCTTGAAACTTTTGCAGAGTTCGTGGTGGAGTGGTTATGGTTTGACTCACCGTCAAAAAACGGCGGGAACTTGTTGCATGCGACTGTACATAAAAAAGCCGTCCTAGGAACCTTCCAATATGGGATAAAGAAATACGGCAAGGGCAGTTTTCCTCTATGGGAACATCTATAAAAGGAGTGAAAGAATATAAACGGATTTATGGTTACAAGTAGTTCTCTTTTACAATGTTGACTGTGATTTATCATTTTGGATCTTGATAGTGAAGTGTGTCATTTTCCGCCATGTGCTAACTAATATATGTACATCTCGTCTACCGAAAATTGATCTTTTCCGTAACAAAAGATCCCTAACCCTAATACTGAATCAAACTCCATGAAGTAGTCTCGAGTCAGTACCTACATGTTCCTGGTCACAAGGATACAGATGCGTTGATTATGTAACTAGCGACGATCGCCCAATGCAATACCTAACCGCCTGAGAAGCTCCAAGCATATGTATTTAGTAGATCTCACCGGACAGGGCTTAAGCCACCTCACACATCCTCAGGGGTCAAGCTCTCCCTCAGTAACTTAAGATCCTTCTTCCACCTGGAGTTGCGCTCTACTGGAGAACAACTCATCCTAAACATCTTATACAAAATGTACGATCCAGCACCCTATCGGGACGTGGAGGGACAACCATCGCGAGTACTTGGAGGAGAAGCTAGTGATTCTCCTAGGTCTTCTATAGACTCTACTTCAACTACTTCCCTCATTCTCGAAAGGATAAATCGTGATGGAGATGACACAGATTACAACCCAGCGGCGCCCATTCACAGGGAAAAGCACGGTGATGATGACCTTGAGGGTGGAAAATCCCGTCTCAAACCTGCTGAAAGGAAAGTTAGAAGAGCTGTGTATATCCTTGGAGCTGTGATGGTTGGAGCTTGGGCCCTGGCCCTTGTGGTATACATTGCTAGAGATCATTACAAATGGGCAGATACCCCCGATTCAACACTACCATCACATTTGGGGAAGACTATCACACTTGATCAAGTCATGGGAGGGCAATGGAGGAGTAGAAGACATGAGATTGAATGGATCGACGGTGCTACTGGCTCAGAGGACGGCTTGCTTTTAACACAGAATCCCCCTTCATCTAATAACTTCCTTGAGGTACACGATGTTACAAATACCAGCAATACGATCGTGTTAATGCAAAGCAGGTCCTTGCAGGGCAATGGACAACCGATTCATGTTTCCAAAGCGTGGCCTAGTGCGGATTTAAAACGCGTCCTCGTGGCATCGGATGTTCAATCGGTACAGCTCTCTCGCGTCTTGTGATTCTAGGCCTTATTTTGTGTTAACAATTATTTAGAATTGGCGCCACTCGTACACTGCTGTATATTGGATCTATGATGTCGCCACAAAAGTTGTTCGGCCTCTTGTACCCTCTGATCCAGAGGCAAGATGTGCGTTGGCAGTGTGGTCTCCTCAGGGAAATTCTATCGCCTTTGTTCTTGACAACAACCTATACATCCATCAGCTAGACCTACAGACCACGTCAGATGTATTCAAAGTCACACAAATTACTAGAGATGGCGGGACAGAGTTGTTCTATGGTATTCCTGATTGGGTTTATGAAGAGGAAGTATTCTCTGGAAACAAAGCACTTTGGTGGAGCGCAGATGGAGGTCATCTTGCCTTTTTGCGAACAAATGAGACAGAGGTCCCTGAATATCCAATTCAGTATTTCGTTTCGCGTCCTTCAGGCGAGATCCCTGAGCCTGGCCAGGAAAATTATCCAGAACTCGAGTTCATCAAGTATCCAAAAGCTGGCGCGCCCAACCCTGTGGTTGATTTGCGTTTTTATGATGTGGAGAAGCAGCAAATATTCTCTGTTGACATTGAAGGCGATTTCTCTGATGATGATAGATTGATTACAGAGGTCTTGTGGGCTGGAGGGGAAAATGTCCTCATCAAAGAAAGTAATCGCGAAAGTGATTTTCTAAAAATGGTTTTGATTGATGTTAGTACACGGACTGGAAAGGTTGTGAGAGAAGTAGATGTTGAATCGCTCGATGGGGGCTGGCTTGAAGTGGTTAGTAAAATCTCTCTATCCCGAATTCTGAAATACAAAAAGATCTAAACCATGGTGTAGACACAAAATACGAAATATATTCCTGCGGATCCTTCTAAAGGCCGGAAGAATGACGGATATATTGACACTGTCATTCATAAAGGATACGATCATCTGGCATATTTTACTCCTCTTGATAACCCAGCGCCCGTACTTTTGACATCCGGTCAATGGGAAGTTGTTGACGCCCCTTCTGCGATTGATTTGGAAAACGGATTGGTATATTATGTTTCTACTGAGCGTTCCCCCATCGAGAGACACATATATAGCGTCAAACTCGACGGTTCTGACAAACGCGCTCTGACGAACGTATCTGAAGACGGACGTTATGATGTTTCCTTCTCAAAACTGGCGGGTTATGCCCTACTAACATATTCTGGACCCGATATTCCTTGGCAAAAGGTAGTCAGCACACAGTCCAAGAAAGGCGATTCATTCGAGAAAGATATTGAGAAGAATCAAGCGCTTGCAAAGCTCGCAGCGGCATATGCACTCCCCACTTTCCACTACTCGACTGTAAATATCGATGGCTTCGACTTGGAAGTTGTTGAGCGACGACCCCCAAACTTTGACCCGAAGAAAAAGTATCCTGTCCTTTTCCAAGTTTATGGTGGCCCAGGCAGCCAGTCTGTTACCAAGAGTTTCCAGATTGATTTCCAAGCCTACATTGCTGGAGCCCTTGAGTATATCGTCGTCACTGTAGATGGGCGAGGAACTGGATTTATCGGGAGGAAGGCTCGTGTCGCTGTCCGAGATGACTTGGGGTCTTGGGAAGCAAATGATCAGATCGAGACTGCAAAGATATGGGCAGCCAAGGATTATGTTGACGAGGAACGAATTGCCATCTGGGGATGGAGCTATGGTGGTTTCATGACTCTCAAAACTCTGGAACAAGATGCTGGCCAGACGTTCTCTTATGGTATGGCAGTCGCACCCGTTACCGACTGGCGATTCTATGGTAAGCCCGTTTCCCCACTCCCTATAATTCTAGAGCCCTTAGAACTAGACAAACAAAAAGCACATCTTGGCAGCAAAATTGAGTATTCACATTTGTGTGAGCTATACTCAATGATAGCTCCAAGCTGTCTTCTTTTTTTTTTTTTGGCTCAGCTCTCGGAGCTATATATTCCCATGACTAGAGCTTATTGTGGTTATAACAGACTCGATCTATACCGAACGCTACATGCATACCCCACAAAACAATCCTGACGGTTACGAAAGCTCGGCAATCAGCAATGTGACGGCGATCTCTCAAAACGTTCGCTTTCTTTTGATGCACGGTATTGCCGATGACAACGTCCATCTCCAGAATTCCCTTACATTGCTGGACAAGTTGGACCTTGCTAGTGTGGAAAACTATGATGTTCACGTGTTCCCCGACTCTGACCATTCAATTTATTTCCGTAAGTCCATTCACCGCCCCTTGTGTGTTGTAAACCCCTAACTGGTTATGTTCATTATTACAGATAATGCAAACAGGATGGTCTACGATCGTCTCAGCCAGTGGCTTATCAGAGCGTTCAATGGCGAATACTTGAAGCTAGACCACCTGAAACCAAAGGAGGTTGAGGATGAGTAGAGGCCTGTTTGAATAAGGAGTTTCTTTCCCATAAGAATTGTATTAGTAGCAGTTACTGGCGGCGCTTGGGGGGTCTCGATATGTTTGGTTGCTATTTTCGACTATTTTTCTAGTCATTTTGCCTTAGGAACCTGAGGAGCCGCTGCTATTCTTTATTTGATTTACTACGGGGTGCTTCACTTTCCGGTCTGATTCATGATATCTGCACGAGTTTACGCGCTAGTCTGAAACGAGTTGTTGCTAAGTATGTAGTTGGGTGCAGATGATTTCAGGGTACAGTTGAGTGATGGGCTGTGAATATAATACACTTTTGAGTCTATTGCCAACTTTTGTGTCCATTATAATATATGTACCTTCTTCTTCTTTTCTTTCCTCCCCTGCAATCTATGTGTAAAATAGATGATGGTCTCGCTATACCTACGCCTCCGGCTCATCCATCGCGAACCACTTTGCCCTACAATCAACAGCCTACCATACCACACCCCCAAAGTCAGCCCACACTCACCCCACACAAAACCAAAAAGAAAAGAGAGCAGATAATACACACCTCCTTCCTCACCCCCCTCTTCGGATCATCCAACACGCCCACCAACCCCCTCACCACCTGCCGCCTATACGGCAACACCAGCTCGCCCCTCAGCGCCCCGGGGAACGCCGCAAGACACCGCAGCGCCTTCGCCCGCACCCGCGGCGGATTGGTCTCCCGGTCGCCACACGCCGACAGCAGCCGGCCCACGAGAGAGGCGACGTGCTCCTTGACGGCGTCGGCAGACTCGCGCACGGTCACGATGAGCGTGTCGATGGTGGCGAGCTTGACGGAGGGGTCGCGCAGGTCGAGGGATTGCAGCAGCAGCGGGAGGAGCGTGGGGAGGGAGGGGAGGATCACGGGGGGTGTCACGCTGCGCAGGATGTTGGAGAGGGCCGTGAGGTGGGGGGGTTTGAGTGCTGTTTCGTAGGTTGTTAGTTTTTTTTTCTGGCGGACAGAGAGGAGGGGAGGGGAGAGGGTGGGGGTTGGGGTTGGGGGGGAAGTTACATGAATCGGCGGCTTTAAACCCGTCCACGATCCTCGGCACGCAGAACGCAAAGATGCGCTGCTTCGTGAGCAGCCGCACGACGGCGTGGTTGGCCCTCGTGAGGAAGTCAGCATCATCACCAAGGAGCGCAGCAAAACCTTTACTTGCTGTTGCGCCGTAGGTTGGGTGCGAGAGGAGGGCGACGAGGTCGGCCGTGATGTCCATGCCGTGCTTGTCGCCGCGGAGCACCAGCGCCTTGGCGATGAAGAAGAGGATGCGCAGGTTGTTGCCGAGGAGCTCGTCGTGGGGGGCGGTGGGCGGGGCGGAGAGGAGCGGCGCGAGGAGGCTGCTGGTCAGCGCTTGCAGGGGCGGCGTGTCCTGCGGGGTGCGCAGCCATTTGTTGGTGAGGAGGGAGGCGGTGTGCAGGTGGCTCATGCGGTGGGCGGGCGACTTGGGGTGCGCGGCTTGGTGGATGGTTGAGTGGAGGAAGGCGGGGAGGGAGTCGACGGGGAGGGGGATCTGGGTGTGGTGGGTCAATGATTGATAGCTCATGAAATTGGACTGGACTGGGTTGGGCTGGCTGGCTGGCAAACTCACCTCTCGTCTCATTGCCGCTAGGACATATGCAAAGATAATAAAGCACCCGCTCTGCTCCTTCGGCGCCGACTCATCAAACGGCCTAAACTCGGCCGCCACCCTCTCTCTGCTCGCAGCAGGAATATACTCACACGGCTCCCCGCGCACAAACAGGTTAAACACCTGCCCGATGATCTCCGTCTGCTGCTCCACGTCCAGCGCGCGCACAAGGATGTTGATCAGTCGTCCGCTCACATCCAGCACCGAGTCATCGGCCATGACGCGGGAGCCCTCGTCGCCGATGAGCGGCAGCACGGTCTTTGTCAGCAGCGAGGGCACGAGCCGCGTGAAGTGGGCTTTCATGTCGTCGTTGCTGCGCTCGGGCATGTTTTGCAGCACGTAGAGAAGTGTGGAGAGGATGGCGCGGGGGTAGGCGGGTCCGCATCCGCCTGTGTGGGTGTGGGGGGTCAATGATTGTTTCTACAGGAGCGGGTCAGGGGGGTGACATACCGTGCAGGATTACTTCCAGCTTGTTGACCATCCTGGTGAGCAGGATCTCAAACACCGCTCGTTCCAGACTCAGCTTCGCCAGTGCCTCCAGCGTGCCCGTATAAGCGCTACTGCCCGCTTCATCGTCGTCGTAGTCCGGCAGCTGCGCCATGAACGCAGGGAAAGTGATGCTCATGATGAGCGCCGGCTTCAACTTGCTCACATCCTTCAACCCCCTCAGCGCCTCCTCCCTCAACTCCACCTTCTCCCCCTTCTCCAGCGCAACCTCATCCAAATACTGCACCACCATCCCCACCTCCCCCTCCTCCAAGAACCTCCTCAGCCTCGCCAGCAGCGCCAGCCCCCGCAGCGCCGTGATCCGGAACCCCGCTTCCTCCTTCGTCGACCCCATCAGCGCCTTGGAGTACATCTCAAACAGCTTCTCGCGGAACTCGCCCATCGGGTTGTCGAGCGCCGGGTACGCCGCCATGTCCCCCCAGCTGCCATACACCTTGACAGAACTCTCGAGGAACAGATTCAGCACCTCCAGCAGCGCCCGCTGCTTCGCGATCCCCTCGGCGTCGCTGTAGATCAGCAGCAGCGCCGGCATCGCCGTCTGCACCACATACGCGTGCGCCGCCGCGCTCGCCGTCGCCACCTTCGCCAGCACCTGCCCCGCGGGCTTCGCCTGCTTCTGCTGCGGCTCCTGCAGCAGCTTGAGACACTCCTTCACGAGGCCCTTGAGGAAGCGCGCGAGCGGCGACGTCGGCGGCGGGACCACGTTCAGGCCGAACGAGAGGGTCTGCGCGATTGCGTGGGCGACGTTGAGGGCCTCCTGCGCGAGCTCGTCCTCGTCGGTGGAGTTGAGGATCTCGAACTTGACGGCGTCCCAGAGCTGGACGGAGTGTGTTGCGATGGTGGGGGCGCCGTAGGAGGTGGCGCAGGCGGCGATGGTCTGTAGGACGTCTTTTTTGACGCTGGGGGAGGTGGAGTCGAGTTTTTCGATGAGCTGCGGGAAGACTTGGGCGGCGAAGTAGCGTGTGGAGGAGATGCAGGCGCGCAGGCGGTGCTTGAGGTCTTGGGCGGTGATGCCGTAGGGGTCGTCGGGCGGGGGGCGGAAGGTGATGGGGAAGTAGCAGTAGACGACGTCGAATAGCAGCTGTGGGTGGGGGGTCTATGGTTAGATTTCGAGTATTCAGAGTGGGTTTCTCTCGGAAGGGGGAATGCAAACCTCGACATGCATCACGATATCAAACTCCACCAGCACAACCTTGACGACCGAAAACACAATCATCAAATTCCTCGGATCCTTCTCCCCGCCCACCAGGTCCACCAGCCCCGTCACAAACCTCCCGCCCATGCTCTTCAGCGCTATCCACAGTCAGCAAGAACCCTGCCCTCTACCACTCTACCACCTCCACCACCACCATCCAGAGCGCTCGAAAAAAACATACCGTCCCTATGCCTCTCCATCAGCCCGTTCAGCAGCGTGAGCACCACAAAGCGCGTCCCCTGCGGGTGCTTCGCAAGGTCGACCTTGCACAGCGCCTCCGTGACGGTCACGGCCTCGTCCTTGCCGAAGCGCGCCATGGCCTGCAGCGCGATGAGGCCCGTGCTGGTTTCTTTGAGCCCGCTTTCGTCGTCGAGGCGGTCGCAGAGGAATTGCGCGATTACCGCCACTGGCTTGTGTGGTTAGCTCTTGGGGCGGGGAGAAGGATTGGGGGGGGGGGGGGGGGGGGAGAAGGATGGGGGCGAACCATGTTGTCGGGTAAGAGCTTTCGAGTCGAGCGATGAGAGTACGGCGGAGAGGTAGGAGATTGCTGCAGTCGCAGTGACTAGTCAGTCGTGTATTTGCGTTATCGGGCGGGCAGGGCAGCTCAGACCTTTGGCACGCACGGTCCTGTCGTCGTCGACTAGGTATTCGCCGAGCGACTGCACGACGTCCAGGAGCTTGAGCGCTTTGCTCTCGATACCTGGGGGGGGAGTGTTACTATGGATTGCGCTGTCTGTGGGATTGTACAGTGGTAATGAGAGGAACAATACGTTTTGCGGACTGGGTGGCTATGCGCGTGGCCTCGGTGGGGTCCTTTTCGACGTTGAGCATGTACAGGCGGGCGTCCATGGCTGGAGATATGCTATGGTGGGGGGGGGGGGGGGCGGGGGGGATGGATGTGTATGGGTATCTATTAGTATTATCACTTGTGGACGGGGGGGGATTGGGGTTTTGGATGGATGTGTATGGGTATGGGTACATGTATCTATTAGTATCATCACTTGTGGACGGGGGGATGCGAGGGCTGCGAGATGGGCTTGTCGATAAGCGAGGTGGGGTGGCCGAGCATGCATTCTCACTCGGTTCTGCAGTCAAGCATCAAACTCACACACACACGTCCATTCTTCAACACCATGAATGCCCCCCCCAACCCCAAACATGTCAAGGCCGAACACGAGAATAACAAAACTACTAAAACTAACAAAACAAAAACAGAAACTAGAGAATCCACATCAATCGCCCCCTGTCTTCCCCGCCTCGGCCAACACATACCTCTCCACCTCCTCCGCACTCGCAAACCCGCCCGCCACCTCCGCCCCCCCAAAGCCATCACACCCCCACACCAGCCCGCCCTCCACCGCCTTCCCCAGCCCGACCTGGTACTCAAAGATGCCCCTCGCCACCTCCTCCAGATCCACGCTCGCGCCATTAAACGTGTCCCCGACCCCGCCCTCATCCGGCCTCACACACAGCCTCGCGGGTATATCCGCGCGCGTCAAATCGCTATACGTAAACACCCTGCTCGTGTCCTGCGCATGCATTCCCCCCTGGCGGAACACGTTCCCGCTCACCAGCACGCTGCTCTGGTTGTACACGCCGAGATGGTACTGGAACGGGTGCACGTCCGTGTCGCCGTCGTCGTCGCCGTCGCCGTCGCCGTCCGTGGCGTTTGAGGCCGGGAACAGCGGCGCCTGGTTGTTGGTCGAGTCGAAGAGGTTGTTGACGAGGTGGAAGGTGCCGAAGCGCATCAGCGGGTTGCGCGAGTCGCTGTTGTTGAAGTGGTTGCCGTAGATTGTGAAGCGCATCTTGCCCAGGTCGCGGTCGGCCTCCTTGTTGCCGCCGCCGAAGAGGAGCGATTTGTGGTGGTTGCGCACGATGTTCTGCTCGCGCGCAAAAGAAGGTCAGAGATCATCTCTACACTATGCTACAGACACAGAGTGAAGGGTGTCTTACGTGCGAGAAGGTGATATTATCCGATCCATCCTCGGCGTCAAACAGCCCGTCAAACCTATCGACGAGCCACCCGCCGAGGAAGGGCTGCGGCTGCACGTCCTCGGGCCCGTCCTCGAGGATCAGCCCGTCCAGCCAGATGTTTGTCGCCGTGACGGCCGAGATTGCGTCGTATCTCGCGTTCCTACACGCGGGTTAATCAATCATTGATAGGAAGGTTGTGTTGGGGGGTCAATGATCGGATTGCTACACACCATGTCGCGGGATACGTCTCTGGCGCCGGAAAACAGTCCTGCGGCGGCACGATGCGGAGATTCCTTACTACACAATCCACCAATTAACCACCACTCCCCCCCTTCCCTACACCGTCCACTCCAGCACAGCGCAATACTCACCATGCACATTATCCACACTACTCAACTTCACATTCACGCCCACCAACGCATCTCCCGCCTCCCCCTCCCCCCACCCCACCAGACTCGTCCCGCCCCCCACCTCCACCGCCTCCCACGCCTTCTGCGCATTCTGCGCCTGCCCGCGCCACCCATTCATCCTCCCCAGCCTCCCCCGATACTCACTCGCATCCCCCCCCTCCCACGTGCCGTTCGCCGCATCCACCGCCGCGTCCACCGCCGCCACATACGTCGCGTTCAGGCTCAACACATACATGGTGAAGTTGAACGCCGGCGACGCCGAGTGGTCGATGTACCACTGGCAGTCGGCCGACGTGCCGTTGTCGGCGATGGTGTTGCCGTAGAGGGTGCCGTTCACGTAGATTGTTTTGGGCGAGGGGAGCTGCAGCGCGGCGCGCAGCGAGGGCATGGTGGTGACGATGTAGGAGGTGTTGGCGGGCGGCGGGAGGCCGCCGCCGGTGCTGTCGTGCGCGAAGCCGAGCGGGGTGCGGGTGAGGTGTGCCGGTAGCGGGCCGGCGTAGGGCGTGAGGGTGCTGAGGGCGTGAGGGAGCGCGGAGAGGAGCGGGAGGAGGAGGGGGTGGAGGCGGGCCATTTTGGATGGTGGGTAGGTCGTTGTTGAACTGGCATTGTGGGTATGGGGGGGGGGGGCGGTTTTATAGCTGGATGTACAGGTATCAAAGCGGTACTTTACTTACTACTACTACTACTAACACTACTAACACAGCTCCTCCGCCGGGCCCAAGGGAAGTTCTTCCAAGAGCCCGTGCTCCTTCGGGCTATATGTCCCCATATATGCATACCCAAGATTATTCAAGCTCATCTGCAGGCACATGCTGTGTATGTATAAAACAGCAAGCGTTTATTAATACCTGCAGATCTGCCCTTTGCTCGTTAACCAGGATTTGCCAATTGTGCTGCCGAGACTTCCGGGGAAATGATCGGTATCCCGGGATATTTTGTCCCGAAGGCCCTTTCGGCTGGCATCATGGGTAGTCACTCGTATGTGTGAATAGTCACTCGTTTTCAGGCTGTTGGTGGATGGGTTCTTTCCACATATCTGAGGTCTGGATAGGTCTCGAGAAGACTGTCCTGGCTATTTTGCTCTGTTGCTCGGATGATGAAGGATGGAAGGAATGGTGATTGAGACTAAACGGGCTGCTGCAGCTTAGCCTATAGGTCTCGAAGCTAACACATCGTGTATATGAACAGTTACTCCTGTATGTGCGAGCAATGTAACTATTTCTTGAAAAACTCTCTCACTAAATAGTAAACCCAATTCTCCCAACCAACTACGTACGCCGTGAGTCTCGTCCGGACCGGATATGCTATGCTAACAACCTCTGACAAACCAAAACGAAAGATGGGGGTAAAAAAGAAAGTCCATGATCATTCGTGGTATTTCTTGCTCAACATTGCAAGATATGACAACTATGCCTAGTAAAAAAAGAAAAAAGGAAACTTCAAGAAAAAAATGAAATAAAAGACTATTCCCTTGCGCCCGGTATCGACAACCCCTTAACTTAAGCCTCCTCTGGAGTCTCTTCAACGACACTCCCAGACCTTTCTGCCTTGGCGATGCTCCCCTCCTTCTCCGATAAACTGGTTTGACGTCTGCTAAACGCCCCTGGCCAAACACGCGGCTCAGATCCACTGATATGCAGATCCTTCATACCGTCAATGTACCCGCCGGGGCTCCTGGAACCCCCACCATCCATCACCGTACTGGTGGCGAGAGTGTTCGCCCTTGAAAGGGTTGGATGGGTGGGAGTATGAGTGCCATCGACGCTGTTGTGGCCTCTATCGGTCCCGGCAATATTTAGGCCAGTGTTCATGGGGTTTTGGTAGATCTCATAAGGCGTAAATGATGTGCTCAACCTAGATGATCCCGGGGAAATAGCATCAAGGAAAGCCGGTCGTCCTCCCATTGATGCGGTAGTAGAGAAGTTGGCTACAGAGGTTGGGTTTGTTTGCATGCTTGTTGTGGGAGAGTGAGGACGTGATCCTTGTACGGCCGAAGTCGGGAGTAGGAGCTTTGTCTGCAAAGTGGCGTGGGAAGGCTTCTGGGAACTCGCTTGGGATGTGTAACGTTCGATCCTAGATAAAATCAGCTGAAATGCCTTGTAAGCTTTGTGCTTTGAATGGAAACATACATTGCAAGTTCTTCTATCAGGGTCTCATGCCTGAAAGCCATTCTGATGTTGGGAACATTCGATTTGTCCATCATATTGCCTGCAACACCCGGCAGATGGAAGTCGTTTCCTAGCCACCTCGCCTTGACAGCACCTTCAAATCCGGATTGCAACACACTGTTTCTGGCAAGCTCACACATATCAACAGCACTCAACTTGTAGATTTGTGCGGCAACGGAGTACTCTTCGATCAATGGCTCCTTTGTAAATGCAAACTGGAGGGGATCATCTGTTGATAGCGACACATTCAATCCCCGCTTGAAGTACGAGAGGAACGGATTCTTGTCATACGCCAAGAAAAGTGCGTTATTGGACAGAGGGGACATGGCAATTCCAATACGGTCAAGGTAGAAGATGTACTGCAAGAGCGGGACCTTGCGCAACAGGATGCCGTGGCTGATGGAATGGCAGCAAAGAAGCGCGGCAGCAAGATGATCTGTGTCTCCTGCTTCTCCACAATGAGGCCGGAGAACAAATGTGTTGAATCCGCGCTGCTTTCTCCATACATTCAAAGAGGCGATGTTGGAGAAAAGGTAGTAGACCCAGTAACTGTATGGAGGGTTTGTCTTGAAGTTCCAAGCTGAGGGGAATGGGAACTTCTTGAATGTCCTTCTCTCTACTTTACTTTCGTCGTCTACGCTGTCGAAACCAATAACTCTTTGTAAAAAGATGTGAAGCTTTGGATGAGAAGTCGGATCCTTGGTAACCTCAAACAAAGGCTTGAAGATGTTTCGAATAAGTTCATCGAATGAGCTAAGGAGGTTGGTGGACTTGTAGATATCGTAAAGTCTGGGGATCTGAATCAACCAGCGGACGTTGTGAGAGAAGAGCTTGTTGTCTACGACCCATGCAGCTAGTTTATCCCATTCGTCCTCAGAGCGGCCATAGATTGAGATTCGGTATTCAGCCATTTGGTATTTGCTGGCTTCCAAATCGACGAAAACCTCTGGATATCACTGTTAGTACTGAAAATGGAACATTGTATAAATTATGCATACCCTTAGTGATTTCTGCCAAGTAACGGCCTCTGATATCGTTGTCGGTCTTCAAAAAAATGGTTCTCAAACGTGACTCGCCGACCGGATTATATTTCAGATTGAATTTGTCAAACCGATGAAAGGAATCTGTATGAGCCTGTGGTAATGTCAGTTGACTTGCCGTAAAGATTCGGTAAAAAAAAAAAAAAAATCAAAGTATTTTTTACTAACATGCATATCCAAGGTATCAATACTGAGATCGTAAGCAGTCAAATTGATACTTTGGAACACCTCCGCCAAGGTCAAATGTTTTCCATCTCTGAACAACACAACCTCCTACGATAATAAATCAGCATTTAGAACAACGATACCAATGGTGAAATTTCGACTAACGTCGGGGCTCTTCTTCATCTTGTGTTTGATGAAACGCAAAAGATGCTTCTGATTCATGCAGGCCGAATGATGAACGTGCGTATCGACCTTTCTGACATTGTAAAAGTCTCTGTGTGGCACCCTCTATCCGTCCAAAAGTTTAGCAATTGATATCAATATCAGGATTGGAACCATTGATCCTCAGCTGAAGAGTCACTTACCTTCGAGTCGGCCATTTCCTGATGCTCGTTCAGCAAGATGTACAAGTTCCATTTCCCCTCCAGATACTGCAATCTCCTAAAGGCAAAACTTTTACTAGGGCCATCACTGGAAATGTCAAGTACTTGATCCAGATCCATATAGTACTCTCGGAGCGTTGGAATAGCAATAATTGGCATGCCGACGTCAAGCGCTGTTTTTCATGCAACATTAGATCTACGGCCCAAGTTTACATCATGAGAAGCTCGATGAATACCTTTCTTGTTTTCATACACCTGGTATACGCCTTGATCATCAAGCTTAAATTCCATCTCATCTTCCGTAGGGATCTCACACTCTTCAAGCACAAAGTCTTCCCCGATATTGTGCCCTGGCTTTCTTCCCTTCTTCTCAAGCTCAGTTCTTGGTCTCAACTCCCCACTACTAGTGCCCCAGTTAGTGTTGCTAGAACCTTCACCTTGGGCAGTGGAAGGACGTTGTGCATCTTCAACCCAGACAGGAGCTGGTGGGGGTGGGTAAATCTTCCAGCTAGGGTCGTCTTTAGGATTATCGGCATGGCCTTGGAGGGAAACCCGCAAATACTTATGGCGAAGGTCCAAGATCTTTTGCACATTGGTATAGATAGTTGTAAGCTCGTTAGAAAGTACAGGATCTTCTATTTCAGTTGAAAGCGAGTTACTGATATTGTCCCCTGGTTGAAATTGGAATACTGGATACTTGATCCAAGGGCACCTACTGTCTACATATGATCCCTTTGGAGCACTTGGGGCCTCTCCATGCGAAGAGGCAATGTCATGCGGCTGTGCCAGATCTTGGGCACTTGATATGACGCCGTGAGGGTCAAAACGGCCCATCTCTGGTGCCTGTATCCCTTCGTGCTCCTTGGGCTTATCGAGGGAGGCCAGTCCCACTGGTGCTACTGGTGCGCCCATACCTCTGGCACCTGCGACACTGGATCCAATTGTTGCTCCTGCTGCCGGTCCCAAGTATTGATGTCCGTGTGAATGCGGGTTTGGGTGTTGGTATGAAGAGTTGATTGATTTGACGCTGGCGGCTCTACTTACATTCCCTCCACCGCCCCAGGTCGAAGCTCGCATTATAGGTGAATTCCACCCACTGCCCCCTGGTTGCTGCGGTTGGTAAAACAGCTTCGCATCTGTTTGCTTCAATATTTTTTCTTGTTTGTAGTCAAAAAAAGCAGATTTTCTCTCCCCATCCCTCCCGCCGTTATAATTTCTTTCCGCGTGATCATCTTCGGGCGACGATGAAAGAACTCCATCATTATTCGCTTGGTCGATACTCCCACCATCAGTAGATGTTTCACGATGCATAGACGCATCCTCATCTATTTCCGAGCCGTCTGGGGAAGCCACCAAAGGTACATTGTCGGGAGAGGGCATTACTGAGGACGGTCCTGTTTAGAAAGGGCAAGTTACGATAAATGATTGGGGAATTGGGGATGAAGATGCAATCGGACTCTACAGCGGTGTAATGTCAAGAGGAGGAGGTAGAGGCTGGGCTGCTTCTGCGCAATGTGGAACGTCGAAAGCTTATGTAGGAGGAGGTACTTAGGCAGGTGTACGGATCTGTACCTGCGGGGAATATTCCCAGAGCTGAAGACTAGACCGTCTTTTGATTCGTTTCTCGAGTCAGCGCCAAGTGGCCCCGCCCGGAAAAATGGTGGGGCACCGATAAGTAACTACACTGTACCTACATGGATGGGGTTGATAGCTACAGTACCTCCTACGGTACATCGCTGGACAGTGGTCATCAGACCTATCTTCGATCTCTGGAAACATTGTACCTACGGTAGTGTTCGAAGATAGGGGTGCTGACGAAGCTCAAGATATTTGAGCGAGATACTAAACAAAGTGTCTGGGACACCTAGTTCTTTGTTTAACCACAAACTAAATATAACTGTCCGTGGCAGTTGAAACTTGAAATACCTTGAACCTGCACAACTGCATGCGCATGCCGGGTGGGTTTGCCATAAGTATGTAGTAGCAGCCGAGATCACGGAACTTGAAACCAAGAGAACATGTAGTACCTGTACCTACATACCGGTATGTACCGTCTGTCACTGTGGGATTGAATGCGTACCAGCAGCGAAAAAGATATCCTGTGATGCAGTATCTATGGGGCGCCTGTAGCCAATCTGGTTTCCGAGATTCTGGCATACCCCATGCGTGTAAGTAAAGCACTCTGCTTTAAATATACGTAGGATAGATGTTATACTTGACCTTCGGCGACGGCCGTAGCCGTTACCTAGATGTATTCATGGCGCGGCATTGGCCTGACCTCCAAATATCTATCATTAACCATATCACAGTTACAGTTACTACATGTGTTATAGAAGATTTCTCATGACTCATTGATTCGTTATAAAACTACATAATCGTACAAATACAAATGAAAACAAACTATTACTAAGAAGAGCAGAAAAAGCTAGTGTAAAGGGTAATAATGAAGATAAGAAATTCGAAAGCTATTGCAGGTCATATTGTCTAGTCTCGACTCTAATAACTCGACTACTAGAAAATCTACAAATGTCTCCTGCGGCGAGATCCGGGAGTTCTACCGTTCGCCATTGCGTTTCCCTGGCAGCTTGTTAGCAAGGAATAATAAACACACATGAACCTGATTATGGGAGTGCCTACCTGAGCTTTCTTGGTCCTGGACCCTGTAAGAGTTCCGGCAACTTTCTTTGCCATACCTTTTCCAATGTTAGTAGAGCTTCGATACCAAATAAAGTTATGTAACAAACCATGAATCCTAGCACCAAAGGTAGGCTTCGTGCGAGCACGACGGTGGGTCGATACTGGGGCTGGACCAGTAGCCTTGGTTCTTCTGCGGGTCGCTCTAGTTCCCACTGTTGATCTGGTCCCTACTGTTCTGGTTCCCGCAGGGTGGGTAAGGCGGTACATTAAAGATGGCTTTCTAGCAACAGTAGTGCTACGAGTAGCATGTGCGCGGCGGGTAGTCAAAGGCATGTTGATTGTGATTTGAGATAAAAGTAAAGATTTATTTGTAGTTGTGATAAGGTTGGATGCAGTATTGTAATGCAAAGGTTTCTGGGAAGATGTAGAACAAAAGAGGTCGGGATGAGGGCCTATTATATAGATCTACTGTGTTCAATCACATTGACAGTAGCCTTGAGTGATAAACGTCATAGAGCCCGACTGCAGGATTTTCGAATGTTGAATACCTGCGATACCATGGCCAGTTACATAAGTTGTTGATCCTACCGCAGCCCTGCGTCAGTGATCGGCAGCTCACTTAATTAATTCTTGGCATTCTAGAAGATTAGCTACAGGTTTTATGGCAAATGACCAAAATGCGCTCTTTGGGGGATGGGTGCAAACAGGATTCAGTCGGTAGATCTAGAAGATCGTCAAATAATTAATGTGGCTTGTGATGCCTTAGGCCACTGAGATTGCAAACGCAGGACATCTTTCTCCCAATCCTTGTCAAAGGGTATATTCTCTTGATTAGAGCCATCACAGTTACACAGGCATGAGCATCATTCCTGATTCCTAGCTTCAAAGGAATAAGATACATAGCTTTTAATATGATATTCATATTCTCTATGTACCGGGTGTTGAGGGTAAATACGAAGAATTTGATAAGAGAATCTTGCTGTGAAATAGGTGTGTTTATCTTATCAGATTCTCGGTATCTATAGTTAACTCCCGGTACGCTTGGTCTAAGCTGCGAATACATCGAAGATCTAGAAGCTTGCAAGAACCCTGGAAAATAAATGGGATCGGATATATGCGTGGTACTATACTAAAATCTGTATTCTTTTGAATACATATCATGCTCATCAAATACTAATCGTTTAAAGTCTCTTGCCAGTACTACTGGATTAAGCTCGTGCCCTGAATCGGAAATACGCATACACATCCTAACTGAGCTTACCAAACTTACAATCACATAGATATAGGGTAAAGCATATTTTCTTATCCCAGTCACTAAACTGGGACTAGAGCATAAATCATATGTAATATTGTTCGATTAGCCTATCAAAATCACTAATTCAAAAACAACACCAAAACAGAGACCGAGTGATATTTTATGATTCACTGTAAATGCTCTCACGTGATGATCGGAACACCCCGCATAGGTCCCTACGTCATACTGATGACGCCGTTCCCGTAAAGCAATAAGCAGAACCAAACAACAAACCTTCTTTCTCAAACCTCAACACCACAAACCTCACTGACTTGAAGCCATCAGATACCAATTTTCTCAATTCCTCTAAACGCCAACAAAAATGCCACCAATTCCTACACCAACGCCCAAAGAGCTCCTCATGAGGGTCAGGAAGTTCATTCCTCCTCTGTTGGAAACAATGCACAAAGGTTTTATCTTTCGTCCATAAGTAAAAATCAAAACACAGGAGGTCAATAAATCTCACCTACCGTAGGACAGCAGGGAAGAGTTGCCGTAATTGGTGGTTCTGAAGAGTTAGTTTTGGAAACCCTTTCATTGATTTTGACATAACAGCTTACTTGCCAAATTTAGCTACACGGGCGCGCCGTTTTTCTCTGCAAATGCGTCTGCGTTGATGGGTGGGTACAGTATTACACACAGAATTAATCATTGGTGACCTTAGCTAAAGTTTAAATGTATAGGCGCGGATATGTCCCACGTTATTTGTGAACCTCAAGCTGCTCAAGTGATATTCTCATATCTTCAAATTCAAAACTACCTTCTGACGTATAACTTTTCCTTAGGTGATCAAAGCATATTCTCCTAATATCATGGTACATCCTTACATGCGGCAGTCGCACCACCGCGAGAAAGGGACAGATACGGCCGAGGAGATTAGTACCAAGATTGAGGAAATGCTGGACCGGCTTCATGCCATCGTCATTGGACCAGGGTTAGGGAGAGACTCTTTAATGCAAGATACGGCCAAATTGATCATAGAAGCAGCGAAGAAGAAAGGAATGCCTTTTGTTGTAGATGCCGTAAGTATATTCCTCATTTGTTCCAGCAGTAAATGATGCTCAGTTTGCGATAGGATGGACTTTTCCTGGTCCAGAATCATCCGTCGGTGGTCCAAAATTATACACACGCCATCTTAACACCAAACAAAGCAGAGTTCGAGCGACTGTGTAAAACCATGAAGATTGAGCCTTCTGATGGTGATGAGACGGAAATCTGTTCAAGGCTTGCCAAGGCGTTTGGAGGGGTTACTATTATCCAGAAAGGGCCGAAGGATTATATATCCAATGGGAAACATACAATGGTCTGCGATCTCAAGGGAGGATTGAAAAGAAGTGGAGGTCAAGGCGATACGTTGACAGGATGTTTGGTTACTTTTCTGGCTTGGAAAAAGGCATATCAAGATAGACTCTGGAAGTAAGTAAACGATCTACATATTCCCGGTTATTTCAAGTATTGACGGGATTTTTTTATATTAGACACGACAACTCTTTATCTGATTCTGAATTGATTGCATTGTCAGCATTTGGTGCTTCAGCTATGACAAGAAATTGTTCACGGCTGGCATATGAGAAAAAGGGAAGGGCTCTACAAGCTTTCGATCTTTCGTTGGAAGTTGGACAAGCTTTCAAGAATCTGTTCGAAAGCGAAGATCCAAAACTTTAGGCAGACAAGTTCAACTAGGAATCATTTTTACCATAAATAGAATGTTTTATATAAACGATGTCGCTACAATATCATCAAATGGTCCAAGCTGTAAAGTACTCTAATTTCTGTACTTACTTCTTATCGCCATGGCCGGGGAGCTCCGAAGCATGGTTGAGATCATCGGGGCCAAATGACATAGGCAGGAGCTGACGACGACAAAGTGAAAGGAATTTGTCAGTGTATGATTCTAAAAACTTCCAGGACTAATTATGACTCCTTCTTTTATTCTCACCTGCTCTAGTGTCCTGACCACGTATTCCGCGTTCTTGTCGTACATGAAAATAGGCGTCTCAAGACTCGCAAATTCACGAATGAATTGACGGCACATTCCTATTGATCCGATTAGATTAAGACTTTTTGTGTAGTTCCAAGCGTGAAAATTTCAAAAGTAGAGCCCCGTACCGCATGGTGATGCCGGCGGGGTAATGTTTGTGGCTACACCAATTGCCCTATACTTCTTCTTTCCCTCTGTCTATAATTCCCCCCCGCTTCATGTCAGTATCAGGCCAAGACGTTCTGCAAATCTCAATTTTGAACCTACAATCGCTTTTACCAGAGCCACTCTCTCGGCGCAGATTGTGACCGGGTATGAGGCATTCTCAATGTTGGCACCAATGACCCACGAGCCATCATCGCAAAGCAGAGCGCAACCGACCTGGAAGTTTGAGTACGGACCTAGGTTCGGAAGGACTTATATCAACATGACTTCCGAGAAAGCTGCCGTGAAGCTTAACCACGGCAGTAGCAGCAGTACAAAAGACACCTACAGTATGCGACGTCTTTAGCTGCAATGGTCCGCTTTGTAAGTTCTGCGACTTCGACACTGGTCAGTCCGTGGATAAGATCGCTCATGATTGCGGAGTAAATGTGCTAGAGTGATTTTATAGGTAGCTGATGATGGGATTTGCTTGGATGTCGATAAATGCGGAGTGCTACCGATAAAGACAAGCTATGTTGCCAAGCAAATCAAATAAGGTCACGATACTAGTACTGATGCGCACGATTGCAGATCGCTAGTCCTCCTTTGAGTAGAAACTCTTCAGGTCGAGACCCAGAGCGCTCGATGTTGTGTAAAAACTTAATAAAAGATAGGGCCAGTCGGAGTCGGTAGTTTTAAAATTAGGTTTATTATTCGTTTATGATCACTCGAATCATGTTACTGCCTAATTTGTCCCTCGGGGGTCGATGATTAAAGTCTATACAGGTCTAAGTTTTCAAGCGGTGTTTCCCATAAAGAAGGCCACTCTCGGGGTGCCAAGTAACCTACTAGACCCGCGGGGTAACTTAGTAAAATGACTCCCAAAATTCTGCACGTCCTCAAAAGAGACTTTACGTATCATTTAATTGGTCCTACAACCCCGGCGCACAAATTTAGATAGATGGCCCCCAGACTAGGAAAGGTACTAAAATCGCATCAACTATGTACCAGAAACTTGCAAAGAGATCGATAGGCAACACATGGCAGTCACTCGAAGGTCCCATCACACCGTATGTATCATACATATGTACATGATGCTGCGAAGATACATATGCTAAGGTGAAAAATCCAGATAACAGATCATCCTAGATTTCGCAGCGTATCAGTGGTAGAGCCGGGATACTACATGTACGCACTGTAAAGACGTATAATAGAGTACCGATTCCCGTTGGATATAAACCATTGCACATGTATATTATGGGGCACAGGAGTGGTACGAATAGATTTCCAGCCCGCATGACGAAGCAATAAATCCTCCATATATATAGATTCACAGATTATCACTCGCGTTTCTTTCTCACGATTAACTTTTGAGCAACCAAACAGTCAGGCAGGCCGTTTGAAACACTTGCAGCAAAGGAACTTACCTACATCATTCCGCATTTTCTTTTTCTGCGAGGCCTTCTGCACGATACTTTTTGTTACTAATCGGGCGGCTGCAGCTGCACCATCTCCATCCTGAGACCACACATGCACAGATTTCCAAGATGACCCTCTTCACTCTAAAGTTATGCATCAACTACCAACCATTCGAGCCTCATATGTCTTGCTGCGCACCATAATCTTGACTTGTATCAAGCAGGTCATACGACCGTGCAGCTATGATCTTCTCAAGAGCCTCCCACTGAACCCATATCACGGACAGCTCTTGGTACCCGTCGATCCGGAGCCAAAGGCCCAATACACATAAACCCAAGTATCCTGGGTAGATACCGCCGATTAGCAGTTATTTCGTCAAATTATATGTCTAGATAATTGTCGCCATTGTCGGTCTGTGCGCATAACTAACCTTTACCCAGGCAATATCAGCGTCCCAATGGAACAACCCATTACACAGCATATCGTGGCTTACATCGCCTCGATGCTAGTAAATCTTTTAGAAATCCAAGAGCGGGGAAGCCGGAGGTACATACTGCTAGCGAACGGGAACATCATGTAGTAATAGAGTACCAAGGTCATAATGATTGTTGGGAAAGTCTTAGATGGCTCGTCGTTCCTTAAGGCTCCACATCTTGTCCAAAACTATCTAGCAACTAAAAATTATGCTCACGTGTAACCGGCGCCATGACACTGGAGAGCGGTGATATTACGGGATACCGAGGCACTAGGTAGATAGGGAACGATCAATAATTGGAGTACCGGTAGGTCCCAGGTGTAAGACAAGGAAGAAAAAAAAAGACCTCTCAACCTGTAATATCTGAGTCAATGATAAATGTAGAGTTATCTACCTATCTGAATAGCGCCATACATACGAGTTAGCCGCCAGAAGACGTAGCACGATCCATCCATCGATGACCCATGATCAGCGACGCATTTGTTTCAAAGCAGGTTAAATTTGGGGCCAAAATTCGTATATGCTGAGATCTTCAATGAGGGCTACAAAAAAGCCATATCAGCCTTTACACTATCCGTAATTAACTTTTCAAACGGCTGTGACGTTTACTGTTCTTACATTCACCGCGAAAAACGCACTTATACAGGGACCTTCCTGGGTTAAGCAGGTACCGGGCTACGGCGTAGGCTGCGTAGCATGTTCTTGAATATTCATCCTCCCTGTTCTTTACGGGGTATTTTTGCGGTCACCGCCAGCAAAAAGATGGTCGCTTATCGCCGGAATATTTCGTGAGCTTTTTACTGCAGGGGTTTTTGTAGAGTGAAGGAAAAGAGCAAGGATCGACCTATTCTTCCCGAACAGTCACGTATCAACGCATCACGAATAGCCAACGTGCTCACGTGGGGTTGAGACAACCATTTTAGGGATGTTTCGGCGGATCTCTCTTTGAGTCCGTCCCTTTAAGCCTTAAGCGTGTTCAGCTCTCGCATCATGATGCCTATGTGGGTAGTTATTCCTAGGATCCTCATGGTGGGGAGCATTTCGAGAAAAAAAAACGAGAGTTCATCCAGTTAGTATTAATTTGTTTGTTTGTTTGTTTACCGCCTCTTCGCTCATGCTCGAATCTCGACACGAGCCCCGAGACTATGATTCCCCGGAAACCAATCGGCCAGGTTTTTAATTGGGCAGATCATAGATAATGCAGATGCCCCTCATATGTAGCTGTCAGGAATAAAGAATAAAAAAAAAGAACGCGTCTTGATTTCAAGGCACACTTTTCATGTGATTGGTCGAACCTCCAGATTTGTCAAGCGAGTGATCTCCTGTTTATAGGGCTGTGAGGGGAAGGCCTCCTGTTGGTCGGTTTAGGCGCTCGCCCTACTGACCTCGAAAACGGGTTCACCGAAGATTGTCCGAAGGTAATCGAAGCTGGTTAGGATATGAACTGCGGGGTCCAATTGCTGCCAACAGTAAAAGTGCTGTATCAATTTGGATCCGGCGGCAGCATCGAATTAAGATCATGCTTCATGACGAAAAATGTTTCCGCGCCATGTCGATGCACCATCTCAACGAAACAATTTTCCCACCTCCCTTCCCTTTTTTGCAGCCGAGCTAGCCTTGCAGGCAAAAACGTGGCTATGTAAGCATCACCCATGGCATTATGGGGGGAAGTTGAGCCTTGAGACATTTTATAACTTGCGGCGGCGGCGTGGCTTTTATTGCATGGCTACACTCACTGAACGAGGTTGGAAGAAAGTGGGAATGGGATTCTCTCGGTTCCACCGTAAATTCAGTCGTGGAGATGAGGAGGAGTTTTGAAAGTGGCATGATGCCTAATAAAACTACTCTACAGTGGGGATCTGTTTATTCCTAGTGTCGAAACCCCGGTCCAAACGCGAGGGTGTTCAAAGCTTTGCGATGGTCTAGGGCTGGGTGTAGCGGTGTCGGTATAGTCGAGAATTCTGCGCCAAATTGAGTAAACATATGCGCAAAAATTGACCGGGGAGAAGGGAACATCCAGAAACCGGAGTCAGTGATGCCATGATGCATGCATAGGGCTTAAGTGGCCATGGTGGTGGACATCTCTATGCGTTTGTCAAGCACCGCAGTGATAATTGCAGTACCCATTGTATTGTAGGTAAGGGAAGCAGGAGATAGAAGTCCATAGCCTTACTTCATGTACTTTGTGGTGATTACAGTATGAACAAGGGAGATCTAGATAAGGTGCTTAAACAAAACATATTACCAGATATCCAGAACATACATACGCATGATAACTTCAGTGCCGCCTTTGGTGAAATATATACCTATATGCGCGGTACTGTGCACAGGACACATACTGCCAGACATCCTTTCAGCCTTTTTGAATTTTCAGAACCATCCTGTCGTTGAGGAATCAAAAAATAGGAACAATTGACGCTGGGAGCAAGCCAGCGGCTTGCGCACCACCGTCGTTGACGGGTTACTTTCTGTATGCGCACGAGCCAGTCGTGCCCCTGACCTAAACTGCATCTCAACACACCCCACTTTACTCAATTAGTATACCTGGTAGTTTGCCCCTGCCCAAATTTAGGACTGCTAGACTAATGCAGTTAGTGAGAGACGGCAGCACCACTGTGATTCGCGCTCTAACGTTCCACAATCCCCCATACAGATACACGCTGCGTATACTTATTTACTTATTTCGAAGGGAATCTCGCAGCCATTGTTGGTTAAGAGCCTGGAAAAATCGATTCTGGCGATTTTGTTTTACCAATTGAGTGCTTAGTTGTACATACATACTAGCAGTGGCCACTTCGCGACCGCGAAGGAGGGTTCTGGAAACATGCCAGTGGGCGGGTTACTGCTGCAACTTCAAGTTGGGCGGGTTACTGTTGCTCCAATGATGAATAAATAGAGCCAGAAAATTTCTCTTATCCACTTCATTCATCGTCATCAACAAACAATTCATCATCCACAAACAATGTCTACTACTACTACCCCCATCATGTCTGCAAAGAGCAATAAAACCGCCAAACTTCCTGCCAAGCCTCGTGCCAAGTGCACCCTGGCTGCCAAGCCTCCAGCCAAGCGCACACGGGCTACCAAGGCTTCCAAAACCGCCGAGAGTTCTAAAACCGCAGAACTTTCTGTCAAGTCTTCCGAAACCGCCAAGCCTACCGAAATCGCTGAGCCGGTTCCCAAGCCTTCTGATTCTGGCACCCCTACAGCCACCGCCAAGCCTATCGCTAAGCCTCCCACCAAGCGCACCCGAGCTGCCAAGGCTTCTAAGAGCGCCGAGAGTTCTAAAACCGCTGAGCTTCCTGCCGAGCCAGCTGCCAAGCAAGCCGATACCGTCGAGCCAGCTGCCGAGCCTTCTGCTTCTGGTACCACTGCTGCCAAGCCTTCCGATACCGCCGAGCCGATTACCAAGCCTTCCGATTCAGGCACCCCTGCTGCCAAGCCTTCCGATACCCGCCCCATTCAGTATCATGAGTCAGCTGCTGAGGCATTAGTAATGGGTGGTGTTACCAATACTGCTACTGCTAAGAAATTGGCTAGTATGGATTGGATTAGACCTGTTATGGTTAAGGAAGACAGGGGTCTTAATATGGCAAGGCCAGTTAATGTTGAGGCTATATTGGGATACAGCAGGGGTGAACTTGCAGAGGCAGTTTGTGACTGTTGTACTGACGGTAAGGGCCCTTTTATTGAATGTGTAACTGTGCAGGGTATGTTTGCAGGTAGTTGCACCAATTGCCACTACAATAGCCAAGGCAAATATTGCAATTTTCGTCCTGGTATGTAATTTACAATTCCTACAATGTCTTACAATGTGTTTACAGTGACTTACAAACATATGCAATAGAAATTAAACCTCGCGAACGCTCTGCACTCATTGCAAGCTCTTCTACAGTTACTGCGGAGGGTGCAGACAGGCATAGGAGAGTTGCAAAGAGGAAGCGGTCCACTACCAAGGAAAAATGGTGGAGGCTTTTGATAGCGGTGGAGGGAGTGGCTGATGCAATTGAGGATATCATGAACGAAATGGAAGATTAAATGTAATCAGACTCTAAGTTAGTTAGAAACATTTCCAATAGCTTTAACAATAGAAAGTTTGTGTTTGCAACTCTCGCAACTATCTTACAGCTGATTACAATTGATATTTCTTTTCTGCAAGTTTATGCAAGGAGTTGTATGTGATTGTAAGCTTTGATTTGTTCCTGCAACAGTGTAATAAATGCCGTAACTCACTGCAATTGAAAGATATAAGACAGTAAGGGGTATTCTATAATGTGCAACTCTTATCCCCGCAACAGTACCTCCGGATACACTATGTTCTCAGTTTCCCCACCCCTCTCCTCTGTTTGCAAGATTCGTAACTTATTGACGTCTGTTGTAACGGCAGCCATACGTTTCGGTTATGCGAAGTGTCAGAGTATGTAAAGAAAGGATTGTGTAGTGTGTGTGGGATTTGTTAAGCGAGTTTCCATTATGTTCTTTTTGTTTCTGTTATGCGAGAAGATGAGTCATCGTGGGTTGAGGTCTGGACATATAAAGGGTCGTTGTTTCGGCTTTCTTCTGTTTTCTTTTCTTTCCTTTCCTCTTTACGCAACCTCTGTATTTATTCCACGAATACTATTCTTTGTCCGCACTACGTCATAGGGCTCCAACCGGTTTATCATACCAGGTAGAGCCACTCCATAGTCTATAGTCAAAGTATACCTTTACGTCTACGTCCACGTCTACGTCACTACCTAGGTTGTATTCCTTGGCACCACAGTCTATCGCCTACGGTCCCCGTGATATCTGTTGCCCTTGACAAAGCAACATACAATTGTCCATGGGTAAAAGATGAAGTTCGTAAATCGATACCTACAATGTCAAGTAAGTGTCCCTGTGCCTTATTTACTGTCATTGCAAAACACAATCTTACAGGAAATTGTTTTCGAGTTAAGTCTCTGCAATATGGTAAGATCAAGGTTGGGATGTGCCTCATGTCGTACACCAACTGCATACTCAGGGTCGTAAAAATATAGCTGTGCAAAGCTTGGTGAGACGTTCTGTTGTGGATGCAATGGTCCTTGCATATGGTAAAGCTCTCCATGGATTTGAAAACATTGCAAACCACCACTTTGCGCTGGAGCCCGTTGATCAGCAGTATATTTTACCGATGTAAACGTGAGTGCAGCATTGTATTCACGAATACTGGTCCGAAATCTTCTTGCAACCGGATCAGGAGACTGCAAAAGATATTGTAAATACGGAGGTGGTGCTTGCAAAGGTAACAGCTGAACATCTCCCTTTTTACAACAGATTTCAAAGCGTGGCTTTATCTTTGAACTTGCTGCAATTCGCTCATCAATCCAATGCAAAGCTGAACAGGACTCGCAAACGATCGTCATTGAGCCCATATTCAATTCTTTCCATTGTAAACGGGAACTGAGAAATGCGCAAGGAAAGGCAGAACGTATTCCTTGTCTTACAGCTCTGGGTGGGGATAGCTATCAACAGAAGTTGTAAGCATTTATAAGATGCAATTCTTAAGTATTATAGTACATACCTCTAATGTTTCTACTGTTTGCCCGGCTCGCAAAGAAGCACGTCTTTATCTCATCTCCGCTTGTCTTCTCTGCAAATTGTCAAATAATGTTTCTATTGGTTGTTGCAGAAATACATACCAAACAATCTCTACATGATCTCAAAAGAGAACCGCGGCGGTTTCTATCATATTCCGCAATGGCTTTATCATGCTTGCATTGGGAGCATTTGGCAGTAGACATGATTGTGAGGTATGGATGCTTTTTGTTAAGATAATTGAATTGAAAGATGGTGGGGAATGAAATTTGTGGTCAAGAAGGTGTAGTTACCCATCCCTTGAAAACCGGGTTTTTTTTTTCTTTGGTTACCCTACCTCCCCAACCTGTTCCCATCCCATAAAAATACTATTGTTACCGCACCTCTGCACCCCTGTCACCAACCCCTGTCCAATTCCGAAAATGGCTTAGCTTCTTATTTTTGAGAAACACTGTATTGTAGTACTATATAGACATACTGTGGTAGAGTATGTGCTCTACCTACAGGCTACAGGTAGACATTCCTGTTGGGGCAGGTGTCGTGCCTACTAATAGTACTTTGCTGTATGTGCGTAGAGTACGGCAATGAAAACATGTAGGTACTCTAGAGCAGAGTCCCATCGGCTATGCGTCTTGTAGAATTCGGAATTAAAGGAAAATAGTTCCCCGGGTCTTATGGGGGACGGAAGGGGGGTCCCCTTGCCTGTCGAGATAGCTATGTACCTCCACTCCATACCTTTAGAGTAGGTACTCCATGCCCCAAGGTACCTGATCTAGCCTCAGGTACGAGCCCTTAGTACTTTACTCTGCCTGGGGAGTTGCCGGGTTAACCAACCTGGAGTCTGAACAAGCGAGCTGTGGGACGACTGGTCACTGGTGTGGGCGTTGTGCGCGATGTTTGGCTCGGTCCCGCGTCGTGCAGGCGTTTGCGTCACGAACAAATCAAAACGATGCAGAAAATTGCACTCGCTGGCAGGTGGGCCCTGACGTTCAACGGAGTGTCTCAGCCGAAAGCACTGTGGTAATGCCTCCGAGACGGACATCTCATACATACTGTACATGTACAGACAGACATAGCTAGCCATTTTACGCTACCTCCCTACACATCGAGTTGGGTTTTCTATCTGGTACCGGTACATACATACCGGGGTGGGAAAGACAGACAGAAAGCAGAAAGCAGCAGCAGGCAGCACCTCCACAACCACCAGCACCTCCACCACCAGTCCCAGTGTCAAGAAGGGAACTCGGCAGCAGCCAAGCGTACTACTCTGCATTACTATTACCTACAGCTCAACTCAACCAACGGGACACTACGGAGTGAGCACAGGAAAGTCTTCTGCTCCTGCAGGCCGTATCCCATCTCATTCCCATTCCTCCAGTCGTGTCGAGAATAACCCATATCTCCCCTACTTGCTCCCCCTCCCCCCTTCGTTCCCGTTTCCAATTCCTTGGGATAGGGCACTGGCGTTCTTCGATTCAAGTTTGGGGAAACCAGCAGAGCAGCATCTGACCATAAACGGGACGGTACCAAACAGTAACTAACACCAGGCAGCAGCAAAGGAGGAACACTCTGATGCAGATTGGAGCCTGTCTGTCCTTGAATACGCAAGAAAAGAAGCAACATCTACTGATCTTCACTCCCCCCCCTCAACTGCAAGTCAAACCCTACTAGTAAGCTCCAGCGTCTATCAGTCTGATATCCGATCATCATCCAACATTACTCCCTTCTCCTCATCCCTCCTTCTCATCCCACACACCCACCCACACACCCACACCCACCATTTCACGAGAGAGGGATATCAAAATACACAATACGTGCATCTCCCACAAAAATGCCTTCTGCACGCCCAGTTATATCACATCCTGCTCGCTCACCGAGGCATCATACCCCGGCAGTGACTCGTAAGATCTCCAAAAGACGTTCTCTATACGACGATTCTTCTTCATCAGACGAAGGTCCTCGTCCTACATTCAAACGTGTATCGTGCTGTACTGCTGGAATAAGCTCAAACAATCCTGAAATGAAGATGAGGGCACCTATTCCCGCAATGGATCCTGTTGATTTCGACAACCTACCGCCTGCTGTTCGACGTAAAGTAAGTCCAAAAATAACACTTTAATATTGTTTCATTGAAATTTAGCTCCTATTCTGGCCAAGATCCAATTGTACAGATTTCTACTGAGGATCTCAATCTAACGATTCATTTGTGCAGTACTTTTCGTCGCTTGAAAGACTTCGGTATGCACAGCAGCAACACACTGGTTCCTCATTACCACCTTCTAGCCATGGTAGAAGCCAGAGCTCACACAGCGCAAAGCACAACAAGCCAAAATCAAGGGCTAGGCCATCCTTCGATAGCTTTCGAAGCAACTCCTCACTACCTCACGCATCGAATTTTATATTAAACAGGCCGCCTGGTACAACAGCCGACGAGTTCATTTTGTCACAAGCAGATGCTAAGTGGTATCTCGAGCTTCCCGAGACTATTAGGAGGAAGCACTTCTCGAGAGAGGAACGTATCTTGTTGGCAAGCAAGTGTGAGAGCATAATTGTGGATGCAGCAGATGAAACTATCTACAGGATTGGACGACAGGCAAACCGAAGCCTAGATACCTTAAACAGCTTGTCATCAAGTTCAACATCCCGAGCATCATCCCTGGACTTGGATGGGATGAATGCAGTGGAAGAAATTAGGAAGTCTTTTAGGTGGATGGAGGAAGATGGTACATTGGATTTGCGGTTGGATGAGTTTTACAGTCAAGTATCAAGAGATACATCAGCAAAACCCTTAGGGAAGCCATCTATCCAGAGGGCAATGTCATTGTCTTCAAGACCATATAGAGCACCTTCATCGCATTCATCTTCTCCCAGCCGGCCGTCGCTAGGGTCGGCCCGTCGTCCAGCGTCGCACAGCATGGGCGGTTCCAGACAGAGAAGCATTCATTTGATCGATAAAGATGCGGCGTACTATCAAGACCCAGAAGCACGACTAAAACTCCGTGTTTACCTTGCATCTCCACAGAAATTTGATGAGGCCATTGAGTTTGGTTTCCCCTCAGCAACAGGATGCAAGGACTTTTTCAAGTGCCGACCAAACACTTCGGCAACTATTCGCAGGGTAGAACCCGGGCTTGACGATTATTCAACCCTCGATAGCCCCCTCTTCGACAACTTCGACGATACTGAGACATCTTCGGCGCAGAATGAGTTGCTTGCCTATCACAAGCTTAGGGACAATAAATTTAGAGAATTTGGCGAGCCATTGATGGGCACAAACATTCTGCCTTCGCGCATGAACAATGGCTCTCTGTTCGATCCTTACCTGCACGCCGAGCCTGGCAATAGGGAGATGACTTTGAGAATGACGCTCACAAGGAAGGATTTGCGAGCAGATGAAAATGAGCTGTACGGGTGGAAAAAGGATACCGACCCTCTGGCGCTCGAAGAATTACCTCCAGTGAGTGATTCTGATGCTGGGCAAT